AAATTAAAAATAATAATAAATTTTATAACTTATCTTAAGAAATGAACTGTGCTCTCTAACACATTCAAACTCAGTATCGATTTCATGAATTTATAGTGTCACTAATGCTAATTACACATGCTCGAATACAGTCAACAAAGCATGTGGGCACTCAGATGAGTACACCAGTAAACAAGCGCCGGACAGTACACTGATTTAATTAATAACTTAAATTCCCATGAAAATTCAAGTAATATGAACATTGCGAACACCTCTGCCATGCGAAGCCTGTTGCCCTTGCCTTGCTAGCCACCCAAAACCGCTGGCATATAAACAATAATAACAACGACAACATTGGTGACTACGACAATGACACCGCTGATGACGATATGAGATCTCATAGTTGATCAAATTACAAACAGGCCGATTTCGTACCTTATTTACTTCTTCTGCTCTTTCCATTTTATATTAATTTTAATTTATGTGAGGTTTTTAATTTCTGATTTGTGCGCTTCGCTACCCGATATGAGCGCGGTTCGATAGCGCAACTGATGAGCCAGGGCTGCCACCCCAATCGCTAAGCGGACGCAAACTTAGCTGACACGCAGAGTGACTCGCGTTGGCTGATTGGTGGCCTAACTGACTGCCACACGGGCGTACTTTGCAACTACTTAGGCGGCCCACATGGGTTTTTACCCCACCGCCTAAGTACTTATTGGCGCCCTCACTAGTTTGCTTTCATGAAACTGATACCACTCGATCTCGAAGACCAGCAGAGAGAGAAAACTATGTAGGCCAGGCAACAAGAAGATGCTGGGAGCAAAAAAAAAAAAAAAATTGCACATGGAGATTTAAAAATAAATTAATTTGAATGAGGGGTGGGCGGTGAGATTGGTAAGCAAAGCTGCATTTGTTAATCTGATATGTTTACAAGGGGTTCTGTGTCGCGTTGCGGCAATTATTGCTTACGTTATGGCTCAAGCGCAACTAAACAGGCATTCGATATAATTTTATGTGGCCAATGTGAGCTGTTGGTTGGTATTGGCATAAACATTTAACTACTGTTGTTGTTGTTGTTGTTTGAGAAATATATACATACGCTTTGTCTTATATTTATTTTACTAATAAACATTTATTTACTTCATTTAATTGGTATTATTTTAGCTTTTGCGAGATGTTCTTCTTTAGATTTACGACTTTTGAAATATAAGATGTCTTCGCTTTTGTCTTCTTCTGCATTGATTATTAATATATTGTCTGTTTGCTGGAACCGCTTATACAAGTATAGTCAAGATAACTTCAGCGGGCCAGTTGTATTTTCTATTCGTCCTTCGGTGTCAGTTGAAGTCAGGCTCTTCCTCACCTGATATTTCAAACGGGGGCCAGCTTTACGGCTTTCTATTCGTCGTTCGGTGTCAGTTGAAGTCAGGCTCTTCCTCAACTGATATTTCAAACGGGGACCAGCTTTACGGCTTCGAAGCTTCCTTGTCGTTTTTGATGGAAGTACACCACAGTCCTTGGATCACAAATCAGTGATATGTCGAAGAGCTTCAGTTTGTGGTGAGATGGTTATCTACCGAGGTAAATGCTAGGTATTAGTGATCAAGTCACTCTACCACTACGTTTTTGACACCAAATTTACGCTTCTCTATATAGCCCCCGACCGTCTTTATGACGTTTAATGTAATTATCGACAGTAAAGTAATTTCCAGTAATTTTAAGTAAACTTGAATCGGTACTACTAATAGAAACTATTTGAAACAAACTTTGGAGCTTCCGATTTCACTTCAAAACTCTTCGGACTTCCTTCAAGAAATCGGATCTAAAATACCCAATCGATATAATATTTATATTTGCTCTCTTCTTAATTTTTACCCTTATTTGAGGTCTTCTCCTTCCTCTGCGTTCACCTCCGGGTATCGCTGTTAAACATTTAATCGCTGGTAGTGCGTTTTCCCACTTCTGAATTATGTTAATGTCTCCCTACTCCTTACACTACTTTTCTTGAATATTCCTCGACCTTTTTATATCATTTATTATAGAACACAAAACTTTGGTATATTATTGTATATTTTTTTTATATTTCCGCGCTTTTTAAAAAATTGTATAATTCATCTTGATGTAATTCAAATGAAGCTTTTAGATTTTCTTTTTTGCCACGAACATGTGCTTTACTGGTGGTACCAGATCGGCATTTTCACAAAGCCAAAATATAAGTGCTGCCAAGCAATGATTGAGAATAAAATTTGAGCCAGTTATTTAATCAAATGGTAAGAACCGTTTAAGATTTGTGAGAATATATATGTATGTGCTGGCTATGGTTCTCTCATTTATTTTATATTAATCTCAAAATTCGTTGTTTTACTTTGTCACCAAAAAAGTGATTTTTTTTGCTTCTGTTCTTTTGGCAACTGACATAAAAAAGAAGCCGAAAATGAAATTTGATATGTCAAAAGACATGAAAAGAGACGCAAAAAAAAAAAAAAAAAACAAAACAAAATATCAATGATTTTTAACTTTAACGCGGCGATGTTGTTGTTGTCAGTATGATACATTAAAAAAAAATCAATACTAAAACTGTTCAAAGAAATGAGGCGGCTGGCTCTACCGATCGGCAGCAAACAGCAAATGGAACTTGGCAGCCGCGCAGCGAACTATGTATATGCTTGCTGGTTGGTACGAGTAGGGCCTGAGAGACACATGTCAACTTACGAGCGATCGAATTAGTAATCGAAATTGGAATATTTTCACACTTGCACAGTTTATCTGCAAAATCAGCCAGACTCACATACATATACCCGTATGTATGCATGCGGTGGTGCGATGTATGGTTGCTTGTATGTATGTACATACGAGTATGTACTAGTTTGTGCTTTGTGCCGTGCGCATTTTTGCTCGCCACTAAACACCGTCCGCCGTGGAAGTGTGATATCAAATTTGATACTTGGCCGCACTGAAGCGCATGATTGAAGGCATCGGTTGACAACAGCACTCGAACAACTTGCTTGCTTCCTGCTGTTCTTATGAGCTTTGCATTGGCGACGAGGCAGCGGCAGGAACAGCACATGCAACTGGTGCCAAAGCATTGAACATTAAAAAAAAGTACAATTAAAACAGCCGCGAAGACAGCGACGAAGACGAAGAAGGAAGTGAGGAAATAGTTTGTGTGTGTGTGTGTGTAGAATGCAAGTGCCAAGCACCCAAAGCGCGCTGAATGCGTACGTATGTATGTACATATTTTTGTATGTCTGGTGTTGCCTTAGCTTGTCTTAAACACCGGTATCTCTTCGCTGCTAACCACTGGCTATAAATATTCCCCGTTTGGCGATTGTAAAATTGTAGATGCAAAAATGCAAACATCATGGAAATCAATACTCTGAACACCGGCCGGCGATAAGAATGAGAAATCGGAGAAGAAAATAACAGAAAGCGAGAACGAAAGGGTGCAACGGGTTTCAAGTTCTGAGCGTTGCATCAGCGGAGAGCGGCAGAGGTGGGGGTAGGAATGATTTTTGTTATCGAGAAATGCAAATGTTCAGCTGGGCAATGCTGTTGGTGTCACTTGACAATAAAATGTTGCAAAATGTTATTTAATACATAATACAAATGAACATACATATGTATGAATGTATGTATGTTTTGTATATAGGGATGTACATATACTTGTAGAATCATATATCATTTAAAAGAGTATATGTACTTGTACATAAATATATATGTGTGTATGCATATGTAATATAATTAATAAAATAGATATGTATGTATATATGTATGTATGTATGTATGTATATTCCACACTTAAATTACGTACATTTCATTTGATCCTGATCCACCCTGAAAGTATCGTTTTCGGCATGAATTTTGTAGGTCTTTGCGGTCACAATTGTGCTCATATCTCGAATCGAAACCAAATTTTACTCATACATACATATATACATACCTACACTTATGTATGTACATGAGCGCAGATGTTCAGATAATTAGAAGTGAAGCAGAAAAAAGAGTTGAATAAAAACGAGAAATGCCGAAGGAAGAAGGGAGAAGTAAATGTGATCCTAAGGGAATATAGATTTGGTGACATCCAGCCGCTGCACACATATATTTGATTCGCGTTCACACTCCCTAGAGTAGGTATTGCAATAGAAAAGGGAAAATAAGTATTTAGAGCTGACAAAGCTTCCAATTCCACTCCAGAAAGGATAGCTTGATGTAGTGTACCTCGTCGTTATAAATGCAGGTATTTGAAGGCAGCAAGAACCTCTGTTGAGATATGCCATTTATGACGAGATCCAGGATTTAGCTGAGGTTCGCTCGCATTGAATGTCGGAGTTCATTTATTTTTAATGGTGCTGAAAGTGAAAGAGTTGGCATTCCCAATAATTTTTCAGGAGGTGGGGTAGATACTCACCACCTCTAACTAATTACGTACTACTTTCGTAAATACACAGTATCTCACCTTGACCTTCGCAGAGACCAAGGGGTGCCTCATCACCTAAAAAACTAGAAGTTTTCGTAAATGCGGGTTATTGCAAGTCGCCAGGACCTTTCCAGAGAGGGAGTTATATCTCAAAGACTCTAAATGCCTGATCTGATCTTAAGACAGGAACCTAATAGGGGAGTAGAACTTTGCTTATTTGCTCAGACACTAACTGTCGATGCTAGCAGTCGACTCGGGTCTCCCCTTCACGAAACCGCACAAAAACAGAAGAGTTCAACTAATAAAACAACTACTTCTTTTTATGAAGAACCCGACAGACGTCGGGTGTATTCCTGGAACAAACCGGAGTTCTTAATGACCACGTTAGGCGCATTGCTCTTCACGCGACTACCTCAACTACAACGGTTAGAGAACCATTAGGCACCTGCTGATATCTCGCACTTCTTTCTTTAAATTTCGCCTCTTTTTTATTCTTTTTCCAAATCCTTTCTGTATTCCTGTAATGTAATAACCGTTAATTATCATTAAATTCGGCACTAAAAACTCAAATAAATACTATCTTTCCTCTTCTTCTTCTTTACAGGAATTCGCCGAGAACACAATGAACGAACTGCTGGGCTGGTACGGGTTCGATGGTGTGGATCGTCTGGATTTATCGACAAAAACAAGCCGTCTACTGCAATCAGCTGCCGTGGCACAAGCCAATAATGCTGCCCTTACTGCTGCTAATAGCAACAACTCCAGTTCCAGCAACAATGCATTAAGTCAACAGCAGCGTCATTGCATGGAGAAACGGCGAAGTAGAAGTCGAGCAGCTTCTTTGTTGCAATTACAGCAACAGAATGAACATATGCGTAATATTTTAAATAACAACAACAACAGCAATAATAATAACAGCAACGGCAGTAGTACCAATAATACGAGCAACAAAAATAACAACAGTAAAAAGAATTCATTCAACTGTGGTGGTGGTGGCGGCAGCACTAGCGGCGTAAATCATCGCACCGGCAACAGAGGCAACGCAAGCATCGGCGCTGGCTTGGGCAGTGGTGTTGGCGGCGGAGAAAGCACAACATCGGATCATGACACGCGTAGCTCCCGCGAAGAGGACTCCAAGAGTCCGATTTCAGCGGGGAAAAGTACGATATTGGAGGAGAAAATTGGTGAGTAACCCGGAAGGGAGCTCTGAGAGCTATACTCGCATGTATGTGAGAACAGTGTGGGTTGTGTTTTATTTTTTTGGCGCTTAAATTTATTATATTTCCTTGCGCTATTGACTAAATTATAACCAACAGAACTAGGTCCGCAGAACCGGCGGAGAGCCTGAAAACGAAAATACACAATGCTTGTCCGCTGTCACAGAAGTAGTCGAACTTCCGATAGCACCGAAATGGAAATTCTATCCGTCCATTCGTCTTTTAGCTCAGACCTTTTCCCATCAGACTACCAATTGTTCCCATCAAAACTTTGCTTGATACTCAATTTTCCTCCAAGGGTGAGATGCTCCTCTGTCGCAAATCAAGAAGCCCACATATTAATTGCATTGAAATTCCAAAAAGGTTTTTTATTTATTCAAAACCCATGGGTGTATTAGCTTGCTTTCGTCATATATAAATTTAAAAGTCAGACTAAAGTTGAGCTATTCATAGTCGTATGTATACTTCCAAATTTGTACAAGTTTCGTTTCACGAAAAAGAGATTAAAAAACCAAATTGAGAAACTTGTTCTTCTTTTTCTCTTCACAGCCTTTAAAATAAATCACTTTATCAGTCGTCATCCTTTCAGCTAAAAATCTTTATTTCCTCTCCAAGTTCTTTTTACCATCATCTCTTTCACAATAGTATAAAGTTTAGCTTCCTCCACGGTATACCCGGGAACAGTTTTTCAATATTTCGTCAGCGGATCCTTTCGATTAATAGTCTCGTCACCATTCTCCGGTGTCAACTCCATTCAACCGCCATGGTTTCAGTAATTTGTCTCTTTGTAACACGCACGTGACGCCTTTACTGCTGCTGTTCATTCGATTTCGGTATTTTCTATGAAGTCTGACTCGCAAATTTCCCAGCCCACACTTTATGTTTTCTTTCTCCCCATAATTTTTAGCTTAAGGTTAGAGGGAAGGTTAGGTTAAACATTAACCAATTTCGAGTCTCTCTTAGACGATACTAAGTCTATGGTGATCTATCTATGCTTCACGACATATGACCAAGCTTTACTGCTACACCCTTTATTGTGACTCTAGTTTGAAGACCATTGCTGTTCTGCTACAAATTGAAGTAGTCTTCTAAGCTCTTTCTTCATTGCTGACTGAACGCCCTGCAACCTTCATCTGCCAAAGCTCTGGACACTTAGAGCTGGCTCCACACCTTCCACCAGAGCTAGATTAAAGATATGACGTCCTGTGGTCCTGTCTCTTTTTTGTTGGTTTGAGTGCTCTGGTGACGCTGATTATTGATAATCTCTGAAGACTCTCTTCACCCATATATCTTATTTTGTCTACCTCTTACTTTTTCCTCCACATTGAGTACTCCACGACAACTTTTTCCCTTGCAGTATGAGTTGCCATGAGATTTTGAGATGGTGTCAGTCGACGCTGGATCACTCTCGTTTTCAGTGGGACAAAGCTTGTAGACATACTTTATGTGTTCCTCAGAAATTATTAAAATTCTATCCACAAATGAAGCCACTGCAAGCAACCACTGAAATCTGACTATCAACGCCGGACCATTCAAAACAGCAACAAACAATTTTACAATGAAAAAATTTGTTATACACACTTGCTCATACCTTTTTACATAAATTTGTTTATTCTGATGAGTATGTTGCAAGCAGATATAGATTTCAGTGCGGCACCCGAGTTTGACTATGAAAGCAACTGCCTGATATGCTAAACTTAACCTAAAGCAGACAACAAATAAGTATAGAGATACTTATACATACATAAACATAAAGTTACTTCCTATACCACCTTCTTCTCTCCTCTCCTTATGGCTCGGTCTGGATTGCTGGCAAACTCATGCAATGCAAAGTACCGGCCGCACTCCTTTGCCGCTCCTCGAGCTGTGCGATAAGTTCATAGTTTTCATTTTGAGTGGTGTAAAATTTCAAATTTTCCATTTTTAATGATTTCATCCGATTTTTGCTTTTTACGAATTTATTTTTCCTGCTAGTCGCTCAGAAGGCGGAGGAGAAAAAATTCCGAGTAGTAATCGAGTTTCAAATAGTTTTATACTCTTCTCATTTACGTTGCAAAATAATCGTCTCGTTTTTCTTCGTTGCATAAATGATAATTAAGATCTCTTAGTGCTCACTTTGACTGCTGGCATTTTTATGTAATTAGAGGAAAACTGGTTTCTCATTGGTCATGAGTAAAAATATGGGGGTTTCAAACACCTTTAAATATTTTGTAAAAGAGCTGAGCATTGCAGGCCACAGTTTTAAGTGTATGAAATTTGAAAAGCTGTCATTACATAATTTTCTCTTATTCTTCTTTCAGATCTCCAAAACTGCTGTTGGTGTCGACGCCCAGTGCCCGAGAATGCACCCGAATTTCTTACAACCTCGGATGGACCGCGCTACTGCTCCGAGTCCTGCTTCACACAATCGCGCCGCGCGTCCTTCAAGAAGGCGAAAACTTGTGATTGGTGTAAACACGTGCGGCACGCCATCAGCTATGTGGACTTTCAGGATGGCGCCTCGCAATTGCAGTTTTGCTCGGATAAATGCTTGAACCAGTATAAAATGCAAATCTTCTGCAAAGAGACACAGGCGCATTTGGATATGAATCCGCATCTGCGTGAACAAGGTCTGGAAGCGGTTGCATCTGGTAATGGCGCTGGTCTCATTACACCAGACCTGTGGTTGCGTAATTGTCGCAGTCGGTCTGCTTCACCAGCGTCCACAATATCCGTTTCGCCAGGACCTCAAACTGGCGCTGTAGTCACGCACAATAGTACGGCTGGTATAGGTACTGGCTCCTCATCATCACCAGCTTCATCGGCTGCGTCGAATTTGGGTACGTCAACTATGCCTCCACACAAACCAATGATCTCTGTAGCGCCCGCCTCGAAACTCATGTCAAAGAATGTTGGCATGTTGAGCTCGTCCCCTATGTCGACCACGACGAATCGTGTCTCACCGAAACACAATCGTAAGAAGCGTCCGTTGCGTTCTAGTTTGAGCAGTAACACCAGCGCACAAGTGGATATGTCTGCGCCTTGCTTGAAAGGTGTCTTGACACGCGAAAGCAGCGGTCTAACCGGTTCAACCTCCTCGAACGCATCCACACTAATTGGCAAAGGAAAGTCATTGTTAGGCAGCAACCCGAGCAACAGTATGCGCACAAGTCCTGGTGTTCATTTAGTCGGCGCTGGCGCCAGTTGTAGCAGCGCAAAGGTAGGCGCGTCTGCCTTGAGTCAATTTGCCGGTTCCAGCGTGCAAGATCTCCACATGAGTGTACCACCATTGTCGCCAATGTTGGAGCAACAAACTGCACCTCATGTGATGCCGCCACATGCGCTTAATGCAGGTGGACTCGGAGCTACGAGTATACCGCCCGCTTTCTTTGCTACTCCTACAGGTGTTCAACCACCGAATGGCGCTGTACCACGTCAACAAATGCCGCACGGCGCTTTTCCACCTCATCCCGCGTCTTTTCTACAGAATGCAGGTGCACCTAATGCGGCTGGAATGCTGCCGCGATTTTTCGGCACCGGCGGGTTTCCAACATTTCCATTGCCGCCACACGTAGTGCAAACGCCGCCAGATTTGATGGGCGGCTTGGGGCTTGGCGCCATTCTAGGTGCACCACCGCCTGTTACAGTAATGGTTCCATACCCTATAGTTATACCGCTGCCCATACCCATACCAGTACCGCTGCCCGTGATGGATTTTTACAAAGCATACCTACCGCCCGACGAGCGCAATAAACTTAACGAGAAAGAGGCGATTGATGCAAAGGAGGCTGGTTTGGGCACAAGCACGATATGTGAGGTAACGACAGATAAATTGGTAATGGAAAATGCTGAACGTGAACAAAAACTTGAAGTGGGCGAGGAAACTGTTAGCGAAGAGCCATTGGATTTCACGAAAACCAAAGACTTGACGCAACCAAAATCTATTGAGGATCAACAAGAAGATGTAGCTTCATCTTCAGTGCACCCACTCGAGGTCACCCAAACCCAATCCAAACTTAAACGCGCTTTGTCCAACGAGCACTTAACGACAAGAACCACGTTGTCACCAACAACATCAGTTACGCCCACAAAGGCCACCGCCGTAACACCCTCCACAGATCGATCCTCTTGCTCACCAGCTACGCCATCGAAAGCCACACATTGCATTGTACGCTCAGACGAGACCGAAACAAGAAGACGCGACATCAACGCAGAAGCAGAAGATGCAGCTAGCTCTGGCGGTGACTACGACGGACAAAAACTACCCAAGTTCAAGATAACCCGCCTTCAAACGAAGCGCACGCTGATACAAACCAAAGAATCACCAACTACGCCCACCACAGCTTCAGCTGAATGTAGTCGACCTTTACGCAAGCGGAAACGTATAATCGATTGCGATTTCCAAAAGTTAGCTTTGAGGGAAGCGGCTGCTCTGGAAGTCGTTGGCGATGGTGAAGAGAGCGCCGACATGCATAATGTGGACGCTGATGCGAAAGCAACAACAATCAGTGTAGTAACTTTAGCGTGCAATAGTAATACTAAAGCGCAAGGCAAAAAGTAGAGACGTATGGGAATAAAACTAGAATTTAAAATTTAGCTTACAATAATTTTATGTTAAACTTTAGATGGAAAAATAGGTTAAATGCACGTTATGACTTCTGCAAATGTGTAAAAATTTTAAATATTTTGACTAGAAAAATATAATCTCATATGTCGAAGAAGATGTAAAAGTTGCTTAAAGCTTAGTTACGCTCATGTTGTGCTACTTGTAATTTAGTATATTAGTCTAAAAGGTTCGTACCGCATAATTTTACATTAAGTGTGAATTCAAAAATCCTTTCGAAAATAAAAAAAAAATGCTTTTTCATAACCTCGTTTTTTTCTGCCCTTTCCAAATGGAGTCTGTAAGGGATGGAATTTACCGAAATTTGTTGTCTGACATTACCGCGCTATTCGCTGCTATTGAACCAATTTCGTCCTTTCAGGGAGCTTTGAGCCGACGAGGGACAGAACTTTTGAATCGCGATAAGTTGGACAACTTATATCTTTTTACAGACGTCTACCAGTAGCTTATTGTAATTTCCATTGTTTTTTTTTTCAAAATTATTTGTAAATTCCATTAAGTTGTATCCAAATACATTGAATGAAATTCAATATTAAATATTTGTGCAGATTTTTTTACTTTATTTTTGGGTTCAAATGTTGTTCACTGTGTCAGCGTCGACGTTTTTCACATGCAAATCTCACGCAGCTACCATCAGCTTTATTTAGTCAGCGTTAAATGGCAGAGCAAAAACTTTTCTGTACAGAAATAAGCAGAGAATCTCTATCTCTCTATCTGACGTTCTCTGCCAGAGGCGTCCGAAAAGCATAGTATGGAGTGCCACCTCAAGTACGTTCTATTTGTAAGACTCCTCACATAGAAAACACATATACATATATATTTTGCAGAATTTATTCATTAAATTTCTCTTCGTTGCAACGCAATAAAAAGTCTCACTCCAATTTATTTTCTGTGCACAAAAAGTAGCAGACAGATGAGCAATTCGGCAACACTAATTGGTAAATTGTCAACGTCAAATCAACACACAAACAGCTCTATGTTCAGAGAACGTAAATACTACCCTGCTGTGTCCAAATGCAAATTTGCGGAATTTGCTAAATTTGCTAAATTTTAAGATTTTACCGAATTAACTGACAAATAGTTTTATGAAATTTTATAAATAATTCCGTCAATATGAGTGAAGAAGTAGATACTGAGGATGTTATGCGTATATTGGTGGCTACTGATAATCATTTGGGCTATGCTGAGAAGAATGCTGTGCGCGGTAAGAATTTGGAATTTGAAAACACAAAAGCGCCACAAATGATATGAAATCGGTATTTCACAATTATTTTCACAGGAGATGACAGTTTTATAACTTTTGAGGAAATTCTCGAAATGGCAGTGCAGGAAGATGTTGATTTTATACTCCTTGGTGGTGATTTATTCCATGATGCTGTGCCTAGTCAAAATACACTACACAAGTAGGTGGCATAAGTAAACGTATGTTAAACACTATTTATTCTTTTTTTCTTTCGTTTACATTTATGAATTAGTTGTATGAAATTACTCCGTCGTTATACATTTGGTGATAAACCAATTAATATTGAAATGCTTAGCGATCAAGCGGTAAATTTTCACAATGCTGTTAATGAAACAGTCAATTATGAAGATCCAAATCTTAATATAGCCATACCAGTATTTTCCATACATGGCAATCACGATGACCCTAGTGGTTTTGGACGTCTCAGCTCGCTAGATTTACTCTCGACAAGCGGTTTAGTAAATTATTTTGGTCGCTGGACCGATTTGACGAAAGTAACTATTAATCCGGTATTATTGCGTAAAGGTCAAACTCAATTGGCACTCTATGGACTAAGCCACATACATGATGCTCGCTTGCGTCGTTTATTTGAAGATTTTAAAGTAAATATGGAGGTGCCTGGTACAGAGGAAGGTGAATGGTTTCACTTAATGGTCTTGCATCAAAATCACGCTGATCGTGGCCCAAAAAGTAACATACCCGAAGAAATGTTGCCCGATTTTTTGCATTTAATTATTTGGGGTCATGAACACGACTGCCATATAAACCCCAATTTTAATGCTACACGTAACTTTTATGTCAGCCAACCGGGCTCTTCTGTTGCAACATCGCTGGCCGAGGGAGAGGCGCTCAAGAAATATGTTGGTCTTTTAGAAATACATAAAACACGTTTTCAAATGAAACCATTACCTCTACAAACAGTGAGACCTTTTGTTTTCGATTCGGTCGATTTAGCGCAGTTAACAGAAGAACTGAAATTGGATGAAGGCGATGTCACGAATAAAGTTATTGCTATGGCAAAGGAGAGAGTTGCAGATATGATAGTGCGCGCAAAAGAACAGTTAACTGGACATCCAAAGCAACCTATTCTGCCGCTAATACGGCTACGTATTATATTTTCCAGTGAAGAGCAAATGTTTAATGCCATACGGTTTGGTCAATCCTATAATGAGCAGGTAGTAATATACATATACACTTAAAAAAATTAACTAAGTCTATGGAACTCGTAGGTGGCTAATCCAGCTGATATGATACATTTTAAAAAAGTAATAAAGCGTGTTAAGGGCGAATATAGCGATGCCGATAAGGAGGCTCTACGTGGAGCTTTAGATAGCATACAAGTTGTAAGTAAAACCTTATACTCAAAATGTTAAGTGGAAAATAGTATATATTTTTACCTTTTCAAGGACACGAGCAGTGAAATGAATATTGAGAACTTCATTGAGCGTTATTTTCAAGAAATTCCGGCCAAACGTCGACTGAAAGTTCTAACACCAAAAATATTATCCGAAATTTGTAATCGCCTTGTAGAAAAGAATGATGTAAACGCAGCTGAGGGCATTATAAAGTAATTTTTTTTCGAAAAGTTCATTTCTTTTAAATTATCTCAATTAATAGGTTTTTTTCTCCTCAGACACTGCAAAGATAGTGCCTTAGAACACTTGCTGGAGACGCTGCCGGCTGATGATAAAGTCGAAGAGTCGTTGGAAGAGTTCAGTAGGAAACTATCTCTAGATGATATAATAAATCGGCTTGATAATCTTGGCTCAAAGGTAAAAACAAACACCAGCAGCGTCTCTTTAACAAACACGCTTAGCAAGAGCAAACAGTCAATAGATGTCGACCAGAATAGAAGTAGTAGTGACAGCGACGCTGAGCCGCTCGTAAAAAGATCGACTAATAAACAAACTAAAGCGTCAACTAGCTTCTTCTTAGACGACAGTGAAGGTAGTGACGTGGAGAGTGCACCAAAGACAACTAAAAACACTACAACCACTCGTGGTAGAAAAACTGCCGCAAAAGCTGAAAAAAGCTCTAAAGCCCCTACTGCCCGCGGTCGTGGCAGAGGACGCGGCCGAGGTGCTGCAGCAACAGCATCAACGCGATCCACACGCCAGGCGTTAGATGTGTCAATAAACTCTACGGTAAGTCTTTTAATAATATTTGATGCTTTAAAAATGATACTGAGACTCGCAAGACTGTTTTATTTGAATTGCAGCGCTCCTCACTGTTGGATTCATTAGCTAATGCGCGTGCAAAGCGTGGTGGTAAGGCCGCTCAGGTTATTGATATTTCTGATTCTGATTAATTTTGTGTAAATTTGTCTAAAATATATTTTTTATCTATTTAATACCTCATCCCAGTTGTCAGCTACTTCTCTGAATACCTCTTAGTATTTAAACCTTTCTTTAACTCAATAAAATTATGGTTTCATTTCCTATAATTTAGCCAAGTCTTCATTTCAAACTAAGAATAAATTTTTACTTCTTTGAAAATAAGTACTATGATTTCATAGAGCTTTTGTTACAAACATATTTTATTGTAACGGAATATGGGTTCAGTAACTGTTACTTGTTCTTGTTAAATGGCTTTGTATAAAATCTTATACCCTGCAAGCCAAGTTGAATATTAAAAATTATCCCCTTCGCTTAATTGTATAAATCCCAAAGTGAAACTTGGCCATCTGTGCCTGCGGCCGCCATAATGCGCGCCTTCCACATCGCCACTTTATCCTCTGAAAAGGCTATATCCATTATTCCACCACCAGTGGAAGTCTTATGTTCAGTCAACACTGCAAGCGGGCGCAAGCTCTTCCATGAGAAAATACGCACACGCCCATCCCAGCCGCCAGTGACGAATACCTTCTGATCACTTCGTATACGTATGCAATTAATGCCGGCATTTTTTATGCCAATATCGTTCCCTCGTTGCAATTGCATCGATTGCCTTTGATATGTGATTGCCGTGAGCTTCTCTTCTGTAAATTAATAAGAAGAAATATTGAGATGCGGCAAATAAAGTGATTGTAATAAAATGTACTTACCAGGGCCGCCAACAATGCCTCGATTTGTTTGTGGATCATAATCGACTGCCATAGGTTCAGGATCCAACTGCAGCATATCTATAATCACGCCTGAGCTCAAGTCCCAGGTAAGAAAGTGACCGGACTCATAGCCGGCGAGGAGAAATAATTGTGAAGCGCATTCGAAGGGTTTAAAACAGGTGACACTGCCCAATTTGGGCAGTTGTGGATCATCGGGCACTAGCATTTGTGATGGAGCAGTAGCATCGAGATTCACATGCATAACACCAATAGAATTCTCATCAGATGGATAAAAGAGTAGTGGTTCACCACTGCCATCAGGCGGTGTATACAAAGCTGTGCGACAAAATGCAGCAAAATTTCCATTGATTGTACGTTCACGAACGTAGCCACTATTCGTCATTGTCCATAAAGTAACAGTGCCACCCTTTTCCTGTGTAAGCAGCATGTCGTCGGTGTGGTGAAGACTAGTAATAGGCTGGTGTCCAACCTCAAAATGCAGTGAAGTACGATTCGTCTACAAAGGATTAAACATATATTTTAGGTTATTTTAGGCGTGTTCTAGGTCTTGAGCATGTTTATTGGGCTTACCTGCAAATCCCACAGAAAAACACTACCTTTAACTGTACCAGCCAGTAAACGGTCGCATTGATGAAAACAAAGTGAGTTTACTGGGCCCATTTCCGGGCAACGCAGAGTAAAAACTGGATCAGGCGGCAAAACAGCCATGGCGTCAATTGAGAATAGCTTTATGCGTCGTAAATTATTATAAGAATATAATTGTCTGTTCCTTGGTTATTGGCACATTTATTAAATTAGTCTTGAACTATCACACTTTTCGAAAAAATCAATTCAAAGTGTTTTAAAAATTTGTAGCATTAAAAGCAGAAATATTAAAAACACGCCCAGCTGGCACAACGACAAACAGCAACTTCTCAACCAAAACCGCCTGATCAGAGAACATATTTACGTTCTCTGTAAAAACAGAAAATGAATGCAAAGCAAAATTAGCACAAAAACAAATGAGCCTAAAATGGAAAGTGAAATACTTGGAGATATTAGTGGCAGCACTGGCGGCGTTCGTTATTTTTGGTGGATTTTCTCGTCACTTTTACGGAATTTCAGAGCTTAGCGGAAATCGGAAGTGAAAAGACGATATCCTCTGCTGGCTTTTAAATGTCAAATGGAGGAGAAGTGAAAATTTGTTTATTGTGAAATTTGTTCGAGTGAATTTATCTGAAAAGTATTGTTTTATGCAGTGAAAAAGTTAGAAATGTGCAAAAATGTAATGTTTAGTGACAGAAAAAGTGCTTGGATTTTATGAAAAAATAAAAACGAAAACGTAAAAAAACCCCGACGCGATCGGGACTTGAGACTCTCACTACGGCCGTTTCTACGCTCAGGAGTTGAAGTTGAAGGTCATTATTACAGCGTTGTTAGTTCGTAAATACTCTTTAGCACAATTTATGTTGCAGAGTACTTTCGATAATTTACGTTGTCTTCATAGGATTGCCCAATTTATTTGTAGAATATGAGCAGGCGGAATTTAAGTAGATTTTATAAATCTATCTCGTGTAGATATGCATGTGTATATAAAGTATGCATACATACATAGTATGTATTTGAGTTCAAAATTAACTTTTTTCTATTCCATACGATTTTTGAATCCTTCATAAAAGTAAAACAAAGTATTTCTATTATCACGCAGATTTGTACGTTTTAAAATAAATTTAGAATATCGATAGAGGTCATGGCCACCGCCATCCTGCACAAAACCGTGCAGTATCCTTTATCGATGGCGATATCCAACATATGGATACCGCCCTAAAACGCCAGGCATAGCTAGCCGGCAATAAACATTTTCTTTTGCTACTTTCTGTCCAGTAGGATATATGCAGGTCCGCTACTTACGAAAACTGATTAACTTTGGACGACGCTGACCGTGACCTTTGTTGACATTTAAGCCTGCCAAATGAGAATAATTAAGCTGGCAGAACAGATAGCTCGCCAGATTTTAAAATTGTTAACGCCCATTTACTCATAAAAAATCAAATCACCACATATTTTTCAACTCCAAAATACCCGCTTGGTCCGGCTTCACGAAATTTGTAGAAAAGTGATCTTTCCACTCCAATATCAATATGGATATAAAAAAATGGACATAAAAAAATGATCGACTAATCGATTTTTAAACATAATTCAGCAAAGTAGATCAACATTTCTTCAAATAAATCAGATTTAAATGTGTATTTAAGTGTTAAAAGGCAATAAAGGATAAGAAAAAGCTATAGGAAACAATAAGTGTGAGGTACAGATTCCCTAGCGGTATTTGTGAACAAAATTTATGGCATTGTTAAGGTGAATTTATTAAAGATGGTTAACACACGGGATTCAATTTTGCGTTTTACTAAGAAAACACAATAAGATAAAGATACAAAGTGCGCCAGCAGAGCTTTGATTTTATGCCGATTCCAGAGGCTAAACAATTTACCCTAAAGAATAGAGGATTAATATATTTCCGAAAATTCCACTTTTTATGCTGCACTGCGCCACGGAAGAATAAAAAAGCTAAAGAAAACACAAACTAATGAATTAAGAACTGACATAAATTTTGCCAGCACCTCTACGGCCACTACTCACTGGCAACATGCAAATAAAAGAAAATTTTCATTTACACCGAATAACAAGTTTCAGAATATAAAACATACATAAATCTCGGAAATTCGCGAGTTCAAGTCAAGCACTACAACACATAAAGATTTCTTCTTCTTACTATTTAAGGCAAACTCAATAATGCCGTCGGTATATGGCATTTGGCATTGCTTGGTGAAATGATAGCTTCATTTGGGATATTCACATTATAGTAATATGCTCATGCTCCTGAGCCGCAAAGCCTATGGTGCAAAAAGGTGTATGTACACATATGTATATATTATATAACAAACAGCGGGTGGGAGATGAATTTTGCTGCTTTCGAGCACCAACGATTGGATTGGTGGCAAGAGAATATAGAATGCTCTAATAACCGCTGATACGAGAGTAAAAAAATATATTACCAATAATGCCATAAATGATAGCAAATTACTCTTCCCCACAGCTAGCGGCGCGCAATCACAGACTGCGCAGAAACCGGCAGCTGAGACGAGGACAGGTAGAAACAGCTAATAAAATGTAATGCAAAGCCAACAGTGAATTGTATAAGTGTGATATATTTATGTACGATTCGTAATTCTTGCCATGAAAGTTTAAGTGAAATAAAAAAAAAAATTCTGAGAGTAGAACAGGCAGAATCAGTGAATCTTACCACTACTTTTTACTGCACCTAGAATGAAATTTTTGTTAGTACAAAAGAAAAAATAAATGAAATGAAAGGAAAAAAATATTATGCGAAATGCCGAGGTATGGTCAAGCTTGCCTCATTTCTTAAAAAAATATATTTCACCGCAAATTACTAATAATAAAAAAAAGACCTGTTAAACACCAAAAAAAAATCTTATTTTTCCAAAAATCGACAAAAACGTCAGCAAAGCATGGCTTTGTGCAAGCTTAGAACCTTTGAAACCACTTTAAATCTCCTTTGGTCTGTGTTTAGGTATCCCATTAGATTTCATGACAGATACGACATTATTTATGACTTCATTAGGTTAACGAGTAAATATGTTAATCAGTATAGCACCTTTTTTGCCACATGCGTATGCTTACCTACTTTACTTTTTAGCTGACCGAAAGTAGTTGACCCATTTCAATCCACTTAATAACGTTGCTCGACCGGATCAGGGTAGCACATATTGCGAAAATTATCTAACCGACGAGTTAAGCGGGTTAGCAACATATAATTAACACACTTACAGGGTGACACAGAAAATTAGATTTTAAATCTTTAGAAATGTATGAAAGACTTCAATATAGTTAGAGCTCTGGAGTGATAGAATTGCAATGTTTATACTTAATACCGCAGCATATTGTGATACTTTTAATTTTTAAGCCCTCCACTTTGGAAACTTTTTACCAAAATCAATTGCTTTTAATTTTCTTTTAATCGAATTATGTGCATTATTGCTTTATTGTCGCCTTCTAGAAAACGCAGTGCAACCACGCAGTGCATGTGGAGCGCAGCATCCACTTACACACATGTACGAATGTGTGTTCCTTACAGTTCCTTACACCCAAAGCATATTCGTGGTCATTTTACTTTTGTTGTCAACAGTTGCATTGCTGCTAATAGGATTTTAACGCCTTTTCTAATTTTTTTTGTAGACCACGCTCAATACATGTACAACAAACATACTCATATAAATGCATGAAGTAAAAAATATATGGACACGCTGACGTGTATTGACCAGACACAAATTTAATTTGATTATTTCGTACAAATTGGCAACATGTTGCACATATTGCTGCCGTTGGCGACAAGCTAATGAAAAACTCCTAGTAATAGAGTGTAATTGAAATAAATTGATTGAATGGGGACCTCGTAAGTCGAATTGCAGAAACAAACAAAAAATGGTAGGAATAATATAGATATGGGGTTTGGACCAAAGAAATGAAAAATTGTTTAAACATTTAGTAATAATAGAAATGTCAATAAACATAATTGGAAGTGCAGAAAACGAGCTGTAGGGACAGCTCGAGCTCTTCATTTACTAGGGGTGGTTTTTGAATTCCAAGCACGCTGCTCATAGGAAAATAGTTTGTAAAGGTGTTTATGGAATCCCTGTCCCTTGGCGTTTATGAGATCGGCAAAGCCTTAAGTGCACTCGCATTAAGTGCACCTCGGCAGTAGAGATATAGGCGAATTATTGTCTCTCCTTTGTTGTACCCTGTTTCCAAACGTTGGATGTCGGGTATTGTTAAGCTGGTCACACACAGATTGAATATCTTGATAAAGACTTATGCAGATGGTTAGATTGGCAGACTATTGTTTTATCGATAACCTCCTGAACCTCTTCTCTACAGAAATCAAGCGTCGCGTTAGCATTTGGCAGTTTGCGCAGCCTTACCTTTTCTTTAATTTTGTCTGCCAACTCAGTGTAAGAAGCCCAATTTGACGGTGACCGAAAGGTCGATTGCGTTAGAGTAGAAGTTGCAGGGCCTTTTTTGCCATTTGCACCGCTCATGTCGATTTACCATTTTCCGAATCTCCAAATTAAGTTTTCTGAAAAAGCTAGATTGCCAAAGATGCGCCTAAAACCAAACGGTTTTCGATGCTGAGTGCCATACCTACATATATCAGTGTGGTATCCTACTGGGCAACAAGTGAGAAGATAAATGTAGACATATGTATATTAAATATCTTAAGCTCTATAGCGACTAACCGGTTAGCTATACCCTAACATTATCGGGTAACCTAGAGCACGTTTTAAGATGACTCTGCAGGGCCAGCTCTGATAAAAAGAATTCTAAGCCACACTGCTCAAGTCTTTACTTCGTTAACGTAAATAACCTTAATGTGAAGATCAAAAAATCATCAGCCTTTGGATGACATCCCGATCAACTCCGCTGAACCGACTGTCGTGGGAGTGAAATTCCCTGTCTTTATTCTTGCCCAAAATACCTGTCTTTATTCTTGCCCAAAATACTGTCGATGGTCCAACATGTTTACTGTGAGAGGCAATGAAACGTGAGCCACAATCTGGACCCAATGTGGCAATGACCAAAGTGCATTTATAGCACATAATATTTCACACTCTCTTCCTTCTTCTTCTTTTTCTTCTTCTTCCTTTCACTTGACACTTGACTCAAGTATAATTGACGATGATGTCAAAAGTGATTGGCGCCGCAAGCGTTTTTCCCTTTAATATGCCATTATTAACAACAAAATTTTAACGTACTTGTGAAATCGGGTAGCGGGCGACAAGAGTGTCAGTGAAATTCCAACAAAATTTGTGGTAACAACAATAATTCAGTAAGTTAATAAATTACTGTTGCTACTTGTTGTCAAGCATCGGCACTGTTGCCTTGGGAACCATGCGCT